TCTCCCTGTGCAAAGTGCCAGGCACTGATGGGTCTCTCCCTGTGCAAAGTGCCAGGCACTGATGGGTGTCTCCCTGTGCAGGCCACGCTGGTGAAGTACACCACGGACGAGTTCGACCAGCGCATCCTCTACGAGTATTTAGCAGAAGCCAGTGTTGTCTTCCCGAAGGTCTTTCCTGTTGTGTGAGTACCTCTCACGTGTGGGTTATGAACTGCAGGCTGGCCATGGCTGGTTGGTTTTGATTTGCCCCCCAGGTGTGTTTCAAAGCTGATGTAAAGCCTCTCGCAGGTACTCTGGGTGTATTTCTTTAGATATCTGTTGTAGTTTTGCTGGAGCAAATACGTGTAAAGGAAGCCCAACTGTCAGAAATTAAGGTGAGCAGATGAGCACCATTTAAAGGAATGCTGCCTTGTTCTGGCTTTATAAAGTCGTGGTCAAAGCCCACCCAAGTTCTGTGAGTTAATGAAACCACGATTGTCAGTAACTGGCATTTGCCTTAAAACCCCCAGCATGGCAGAGACCTGCAGGCAGCTCAGTGGGACAGAGCTCCACGGGTTTAAAAAGCTGCTTTGGGACTGTGGCTGACAGGAACACAAATCCAGTGAAGAATTTTTGCTTTAAAAGAATTAAAATATTTGCAATTTAAAGTGCTAGGGGAAGGCTTTGATGGTTTATATGGTTATATTGAAAGTGCTGCCCTTCGTTAAGAGTCCTCATGGAACACTGGGAATTGTGTTCTGGAATCACTGAGGTGTAAAAATCCCACCTGAACTGCTGGTTACTGTAGTCACTTTGGAACTGCAGATTTATTTTATTTAATGACCAGAAAATAAGTCACTTCTCTTTTCTTCAGGCATAATTTATTGGACTCCAAGATCAATACCCTTTTATCGCTGTGCCAGGATCCAAACTTGTTGAATCCAATCCATGGGATTGTGCAGAGTGTTGTCTACCACGAGGAATCTCCACCCCAGTACCAAACATCTTATCTACAGAGTAAATATTTCCCCCTTTTTTTCAAAACTGCTGTATTTTGAGTTAGATTTACTACTGAAAATGTTTCCAAATTGCAGCCCTCCTGGACTAGTCAGGCAGGCTGGTGTGGCACCTCTGCAGCTTCAGGTATCCAAGGAAAAATAAGAGTTTGCAGATTAAAAATAGTCCTGACATGAAATATTAGAACTGCTGCAGTTGTGCATCAAATAGTAAAAGTATTTCACTATCTATATGAGTAAAAGATGTTGAACCTCAGGATTGTGTTTCCTCCAAGCAACTTAAAGAAACACAGAATGTGAATGGTGGTGATAGATGATGAACTTTGTTATCTTCATTAATTAGGGATTGATTTAAGTACTGGTAAATGCCTTAGTGTAATGTTTGGTTTTCGGTGCCCAAGCTCACTTGAACTGTGACACTTAAAACCTAAACATGTTTTTATGGTCCTTAGTCAAAAACTTTCCAGGAAGATCTAAGAAGCAGGTGATAGTTGAGAAAAACTTCAATGCTGACAGAATTTTGGAACTGAGATGTGGAATCACGTGGCCAATTCACCTTTGAAAATGAGGGAGCACCCTCTGGTCATTCTGTGCCAGTGAGAGCTGGGCTTTGAGGGTCATGTTCCATTTGTTGTTGCAGGTTTTGGATTCAATGGGCTGTGGAGGTTTGCTGGCCCCTTCTCCAAGGTAAGAGCTCTGTGTGCTCAGGAGTGTTTGGCCTTTCTGGGGCACATTGGTGCTGCAGGAAAGATGCACATAAACAAGGCACAGGATTGCTCTAAGCAAGCAGAAAGCTGTCAGGCTCACTTCTTGGGCTAAAACCAGTTGTGAGCCTGCAGCAGGGGCTTTGATAGACTCAGATAAACTACCAGAATTGGGGAAAAGCAGTCAGGTGTGCAAGGGCACCTTTTCCTGGTCCCAGGGTCACTTTATTACATGTATCTTACAGTGTAAAGGGTTAATTTGATAAGAAAGATGATTCCTTGAGGTTAAGTTCTGTGTCAGAGCAGAGCCAGTGGAGCAGTGCCCCTGTGCCCAGCCATGCCAGGGGGAAGGGGCTGAGCAGGGCAGTGGCCCAGGGGCAGAGCTGCCAGGGCAGTGCCAGGTGGCTCTGCAGCTCAGTCCCTGGGGGAACAGCCCCCCTTCCTGCCCCTGGGCTCCCACACTGAAGTTACACCTACAAGTGGTCTTTAATGTGCACATTTAGATTGATCTGAAAAAGACCACAAATGAGTTTTTACAGATGCATCAAATGCTGTTTAAAATTTCCAGGCAATGCAGTGGGATTGCAACGTGAGCTCTGGAGCAGAGCTCAGACTGACAGGAAAGTACAAAGAAAAGAACAATCTTTTCTTTTTCCCCACCCATGTCCCACAGCAAAACCAAATCCCAGACTATGCTGAGCTCATAGTGAAGTTCCTGGATGCCTTGATTGACACGTACTTGCCTGGAATTGATGAGGAAGCCAGTGAGGAGTCCCTGCTGACCCCCACGTCTCCGTACCCCCCGGCCGTGCAGAGCCAGCTCAGCATCACTGCCAACCTCAACCTCTCCAACTCCATGACCTCACTGGCCACTTCCCAGCACTCCCCAGGTCAGTGGCTGCCCTGGGACCACCTGGGTGAGGGAAGTGGGGGAATTCCAGGTTTGGGAGCCAAACACTCTGTTGGCTCTTTGGATGTGTTTGTGCACCAAACATCGGCGCCTTCCAGAGTGAAATGAATATTAAACTGTTCTGAGCTGTTACCCCAGCTCACATGCTGGCTTCTATCCAGCACAAAAGCTGTCTCCCAGGTCACTCCACATGAAGGGAAGAGCATTAAGGGCATCAGAACAGACAGCAGCTCCATCTCATGTGGAACATGTGCAGCAGTGAGGGCTTGAAAAGGAATAAATATAAACACGTAATCATGTAATTTGCAAGGAGAAAATGCTGATCTGGGCACTGCAAGGTAGCACATGTTGGGAAAACTAATCCCTAAGTGTGCCATGCAGAGTGTGCTGGGCTGACAAAGCTCCAGCTGACTGTGTGATCCAAGGCCAGTGCCCACACAGCAGCAAAGGGGTTGGACTCTGCCTCCAAGGAAGAAGAGTTCATGTGGATACATGAGAAAGGGTCAGCTCAGAGTGGTGGATTGCCAGAAATATGCTGATGGTAAAGTGAAGGTGTGTGGGAAAAGAACAGTCATCCAAGGCAGTAAATGGATAAAAACACTCAACTCCTGGCAAGGGGAGAAGGGAATTGTAAGGAAATGCAGAGGTGAAATTTAACAGCAAAGGTTTGCAGGGTGAAAATAAATGAAGAGTAAAAATCACTCAGTATAGCAGCATAAGGCAGAAGAAATTAAATATAGGAAGAAGATGGAATTTATGTCAAAGAAATCTACATGAAGACTTCTTGAAGTGATTTTGGAAGGGTGGTTCTTATACTGAGGAAATCTTTTCTTTGTCATAAAAATTACACTGTGAGATATTTCTTAAGGGATGATTTAGCTGTTGCAGTTCTAAATAGACGCTTCAACCAACTTTTTACTTCTACTTCATTTCTAAGCCCTATGGAAGTCCAGAAAGCCCTTGGATTGAGGTGTTTTGGGTTTTTTCACTGTCTTGCTCCCTGGTTTCTGCTCCCTGCACTGAGCCCTGATGGGCTGGGCTTGGCTCTGTGCAGGAATCTGCCCTTCCAGGGGCTCCCCTGGCTCTGGACACTGGGATGGTTTGTGTTGAGGGTGCAGAGGTGCAGCAGGGGTAAGACAGGGCTCTGTTTGAATGATTTGGGAATGGGGATTTCTTTGGGAACAGACCTTGCTGTCAGTGTGGAATAAGGACATTCTGGGCAGCATCTTTCTGTTTAGGACATCAGTGGCAGCTCCAGCAGCTCGTTTCCAAGGGTCAGGTGATGGTGCAGGATTGGACTCTCTGTGAGGGAAAGAAGCACTTTGCTGTGTAAATGTCCTCCTTCCTTCTGCCCCACTTTCTGTTCCCTATTCCTTTGCAAACTGAGAGGAAGGAATTAATCCAGCCTGTCAAATGTTCCTTCCAAGTGCTGTGCAAACACATGGCTTTTGTCAAAGGCTGGTTAAGAGTCTCCACAAATAGAGTTGGGAACTAGGGAACTCGTTCAGGTTAGTGGTGAGTCTGAAATGACACACTGATGACACACACAGGGCACTGTTTGCTTGGAAATGAGATGTAAAACACCAGTGAAAGCAGCACCGAGCTCCCTCACCACACTGAGGCAAAGAAACACTTTCAACCAAGTGAGCTTTTGGTTATGGTTACAAATATATTAAGTTGCAAATACATGAAAAATTCATTTCTTGCATCTGAAAACAACCAGGCAAGATCATTGTTTATGAATGTTTTGTCTGTCACCATCTCTGCTCCTTTCCCTCCCCTTCCCCGTCTCATGGACATTATTCACTTACGTTTATTTCTTTCATTCTGTGTCTGTGAAGCTTCTCTGCCTTGCTCTAAGTCTGCAGTTTTCATGCAGCTGCCTCATCCAGGTACTCTCTTCTTTCATCATATTTGCACGAAATGCTGCTTGAGCTGTGTTAGGGTGGGGCTGTGGCATGAGGAGCAGTTACTGACACGGGAATGGCTTCAGCGAGCGCTACACTGGGGCCTTCCCTGGGGGATGCCAAAATATCTGAGGGTAGAGCAGAGAGAGAGCCAGGCACGGCCTCAAGAACAAATCTGGCAACAGAGAGGTGGATGCTTGGTGTGGAAATCACTGTGCTGCACGTGTAAAGCTCAACTGAAGCACTGTTTGGTGTGAGCTCTTTAGAGTTACCAGGAGTCAGCTCCAACCTCAGTGACTCACCAGCAGACATGAGTTCTTTGGACTGACAGCAGCAGGCAGAGGGGCAGGAGATGGGGAGCTCCACACCACTGCATTTCTGCTTTGTATGGAGAAGTAAGAGAAAGCTGCAGAGGAGGGTTTTTGCTCACCCTGTGGGTTGTTCCTGTCCTCAGCATAGTTGGGGGGTTTGTGCTGCTGCCCACACAGGGAGAGGAAGGTGCAGCCTGCAGCAGCCTCAGCCTGCAGCAGCCTCTGCTGGAGCCCTCACGCTGTCGCTGTGCCAAGTGTGGAGGGTGTTCTTTGTTCCCATTAATGCCACTGACAATCACTTTCCTGTATGGAATTGTGGAGATGTCACAGTAATAGGATTTTGTTCTAACTTTTGTATTCACTGTCAGACATCCTAATTCTTGCTGCTGATTGTACTCGTAGCCTCTTGCCTAAAACCACCCGTCCTGCTCCTCACTTCTGTGCTGCACCTGCCGTGGGTGTGAGGGTGTCAAACACTCCTCAAACAGTCACACTGTGACAGCTATGGAGCTGCTGCTGCAGGGCTGATTAACCCACAGCAGGGGCAGCAGAAAAAGGAACAGTTGGTGGGGAGCACATCTGCACTAACACAGCTCTTGGCTTTTGGGGCTGTGAGTGCCGGTGCCCGAAGCTCAGGGACAGCTCCCACGGCAGGTTTGGGGTGTTGTTGTCATGCCAGTGCCACGTTTACACTAAAGCAGTTCATTTCTGAAGTTCGTTTGATGTGAGACTTTGAGCAAAACATAATAGTTACCTTGTCCTGCAGAGACCATCTGAAGCTCTCAGGTGTGAGTATGTAAGTTGTGCCCTCAGAAAGGGCACAAACCTCAGCCTGTCCCCCACAAGCCTCTTCCTGCCACCACTGGGGCTGAACTTGGGCAACAGCAGTTCTTGTGAGGAGTCCCAGCCTCACCTGCTCTGTGCCTGTTTCCTGTTAACACCCACCGTAGAAAACTGTTTCTTTACGTGTTAAAAGTTAATTTGGTGGTTGGATTCGATGACCTTAAAGGTCTTTTCCAACCTTAACGATTCTGTGAGTCTGTGAATTGTTTTAATGGACAGTTTGAATCATTACAGTTGGTGTCTGCACTTGACACTCAGCTGTTCAGGGGAACCTCTGCATGGGTTCTGTTCCTGCTGAGTGCAGCATGAGCCAGCTGAGCCCTTCACTCTCAGTGAGGGGCAGTGAGACAGAGTTCTCCCAACTCTCATTTGTACCTTATGTGCTTTTACTGAGCTTGTTTGTGAGCCAAGATTCAGTGTAGAGGGGAAGGGTGGGTACCTGAATACACACGAATCTTCCCTGATAGCAAGAATCAGCCTCTGCCACTGCAGCAGAATCCTGTGGGTTCAGAAATGAACCTTCCTCTCCCTGCTGTGCCCCTGTTCCACAGCAGCCATTGATTTTTGGCTGGAAGAAGCCTGTAGGTTTGGCAGTGCGGCCCTTCCTCCTGGAGAATGCAAAAGCAAGACTGGAGCCAAACTCACTGGCTCAGTGTTCTCACAGCACTCCGGTGCCTTCACCTCCTTGCCTCTTCCTCCTTCCCTCACTTAACCAGACATTTTGTTTTCATCAGCCACACAAGATCTCTTGCTTTTCCTCTCCCTTTCCCCTCCACTGGCCCCAAGGGCTGCAGGGGGGAGGGAGTGGCTCTCAGCCCTGCCCTGCCCCAGACAGGGTTTGATTCTTTCTCAGCACACCCTGGCGGGGCCAGACCCCGCGGGGGACCCGCCTCGTCCGGGCCCTTGTCTCCAGGGCAGGCGGGTCCCCCCGGCCCTGGGGCTCCCCCGGGACTGAGCAGGGCCTCGTGTTTCCGCAGGGATCGACAAGGAGAACGTGGAGCTCTCGCCCACCGCCGGCCACGCCAACAGCGGGAGGATGCGCCACGGCTCCGCCAGCCAAGTGCAGAAGCAGCGAAGCGCCGGCAGCTTCAAGCGTCACAGCATCAAAAAGATCGTGTGATTGTTGCTTTTTAATTTTATTTTCTATCTCTGGACCTGACTGACGCGCGGCCCCTCGCCGAGGGCCCCGCGCCGGGTGTGATGCTGCACTTGATCTGTACAGTTCCCATCCCGTCGGCCGCGTCGCCAGATGATCAACTCCTGACCCATTGCCTGAGTTAACGCCTTCATCCCTCCCTTCTGTTTGGTTTAAGTGTTCCAGAACCGCGTGAGGATCCCGAGGGACGGCGGAGCCGGGGGAGGTCTGGAGTCCTGTGACGCTGCAGAGCCGCGTCTTGTCCAAATCCAAAGCCATTTCCCGAAACAGCCCCGCTGTGCACCTGCTCTGGCCTCGGGTGTTCCTGCTCTAAAGGGAAGTGTTGATCCTTAACCCTGTTTGCACACCTCAAGGTAGTGGCTTCCTGAGCCAGGGAAGTTTCTCTAATCCTGGTTTTAATCCAAATGTGTAAGATTTTAGCTGTGGACTTTTTTTTACCATACTGAAAAGAAACTCACGATAGCCACAGTACAATGAGCTTAACAGAAGTGGTGGATTAGGTTAAATTTCAGGTAATTAGCAATAAATGGGAGAGGAAGAGGAGGCTGCAGGAGTCCCTCATTCCCCAGATTAAGCTTCACGCACTTGGACTGTACATGGACCAGACTGGACAAACTGGCTTTTTTTCCCCAAGCCTTTTTTTTTTTCTTTTTTTTCTGTACTTTACTGCCCTGGGGAAGGTGGTACAGGGGGAAATCCCCGGGCCTGACCCTCGGGCTGTTGTTGTAGCACTGCGGGAAGTTTCTCACCTCTTCCTTCCATTTGACACGTTTTAGCGCTTTAGTTCTGCCCTGCCCGACAGAGCTCCTGGCACAGCAGCCAGTGGGGAGTGGAGGGGCAGCGGGGTGGATTCACTCCTGGCTCTGGGGGATGGTGTGTGGCAAAGCTGCCCCTGTGCTGCCCAGGCAGGGACAGGAACAGCCACCTCTGCTCAAGGTACATGAATTTCAATTAACTGACACTGGGTCGGTTCCGTGGCAGGGCCGGGGCTGCCCCTCTGCCCACGGGACCCCCCGGGGTGGGTTCGGGGTCCTGCAGGGGTTCCAGGAATTGAAGGTGCTGTCACTGGTCACTGCCAGGGCTCGGGTGACAGTGCTGGGACCTGCTGCTGTGCTGGGGAGGGAGGAGGCAGGAGCTGGGGCAGGGGCCGTGTCCTTGGGGCCTCACACAGCTCCTGCTCAGGAACAATTCTGCTTCCCAGTTGCAGATCCCTGTGCTGTGGTAGGAATCAACAATCCTTTGGTGGCTTTAAAGGAAAAGAAATTATCCACTAGGTAAAAGCCAATCCTCCAGTGCAATCATTAATGGCTTTCAGTAAATCAAACTCCACAGCTAAATTATTAGAGAATGGTACAATTAAGGGTTCCGATTTTATTGCTATAGCACACAATTCCCATGTATCCACACAGTAACAATGTAACATTTATGTAAATAAAAATACCTTTATTGTATTGATTCATAAAATAACAATTTCTTTAATTTGTTTACAGTCCTGGAAAAGCTATGAACACAAACTTCATATGCAAATAGTTTGCCAAAACAAGAGGAAAATTTAGGATTAGCAGTCTTGGAATAAATATGTTAGAAAAATGAAGTGGTGCAATTACCCCAGTCCCTTCTCGGGTGGTGCAGGTGCTGCGGCAGGAACGTGGTCACTGGGGACACGGAGTGGGGTGTGAGTGGGGCCTGAGGCTGAGCCTTGGGGTCCCCAGGTTAGAAACTGTTGTCATCTCACACCTCAGATTGTGAGGAACCACCCCTGGTGTCGCTGTGGTTTGCACGGGGTTGTACCCAATCGAGCAAGTTCCAGCCCTTCCCGTTTTGCTGAAGACAAAGAATTGTAGAAGCCTGAGGATTTGTAGGTAGGGGGAAAACAAGAATCTCTTATAAAGGTGATTTGCTGTTTTCAGTTGTTTCTCCTATGAGCAGGTTTCCTGTAAAGAGGAATAGGAATTCCAGAGGAACTGCCCAACCAGTTTTGCTTGGGCAGAGAGGAAGCCCTTCACTGTTCTGCATTACCCACATCAAAAGTGTCCCTCCTTCAGAACTGCTGCATTCTCTGCAGCACAGAGGATGTGAGAGCAGAGGGGACGGTGATGAAAATCACCCTCCTTGGGGAACTACTCCAGGCTCTCAGTCCCAGCTAAAAATCTGGTCTCTTCACAAAGTCAGTGAACAAAATTTGATTTCCTCTTTCCTGGAAGGAGAGAGTTGGTTGGAGGTTCCCCTGTGTGAGGGGTTCAGTGAGAGGGCCTGGACTCTGGCCGAGCAGGGGTGTCAGGTAGTGGGGGTGGAATTGGGGTGTGAGGACAGCTGATGGCCAAGGTTTAATTTGCATCCTGTGTGCCCCAATATGCAGCAACCTTGTCTTGTACTGGTTGCTGGGAAGCTCGTGCTTGGCTCACAGGGAAGCACAGCCTTTGTGTAATGATTAAACTCCAATCAGTAATTAGTTGTCGAGTGCCTTACTGTCTCTCCATCGCTCTCCTGCTCCCCCCAGCAGCCACTGCTGGGACTTTGCCTCCTTTTCTTTCTCACATCCTCCTTCCTTTGTTCTTTCCCTGTTTGAGCACTCTCCCTCCTGCCCCGTTCCAGCCCGGGCTGTGCTGCCGGTGCCCAGCAGTTCTGGTGCCACGGTGGGTCTGAGCCCCGTCCCG